AAACTCCATGGGGACCTGGATCCTCAGGGATTCGGGCACTCGGTCACGCAGGCACAAAGGTACTGGGGGGGGGGGGGGGGGGTGTTTGTGCCTTGCTGTGCCCCCCAGAGCTGGTGGGAGATCCTGGAGGCCACCCCAGGGTGCCCATCACTGGGAGCTGGGATTCCCAGCTGATGGGTGCAGATGGGGGCCGTGGCCAGGGAACTGCTCCTGCCTGTCCCTGGGGTGTTTGCTCTGCTCAGGGACCTGGGGAGCGATGACTTCATGGCCTTATTAAGGACTAATTTCCATCGAGGCAGGGAAAATAAACAAGTGTAGGTGTCATTTAGCATGGAAAGTTACTGGGGCTGTGGGGAGGCACTGCCTGTTTTCATACGTGGCCCGGATTTCTCCACTTACCTCCACGGGACGATAATCCCTTAAATCCCAAGGAGATTAAAGGCAGAAAGGAAGGTGGCCGGAGTGTCTCCTTCGCGATGTTTCCCAGATGACGAAATCCCGTGTCTGCCTAACCCCGATTAACCCGGGCGCTGAGCTCATCCCCCAAAAATACCAGGAGCAACAAGGGTGAATCCCCATCCCACTTGGCCCCCGGAGGCTGTGGGGAGGTGGGAGCCATGGGCAGAGCCGGGGGCGAGGCAGGAGCTGCTATTTTAACCCCATTATTCTTCCCGGCCCGGCAGATCCGGCGAAGCCCACGGCAGCCATGGCGCTGGTGAAGAGCGGTTGGCTTTGGCGACAGAGTAAGTGCCACCCTTGAGCTTTGCAGGTTGGGATCCCCCCAAAAACACCCAGAGAGGTTTGCTGGGACGAGGTGGGGTGTGGGGGACACGAGGAGCCCCGAGGCAGGCGGGTAATCCACGGCAGCGGGGAGATTGTGGCTCAGCCGCTCGAGGATTTACGTAAGTGGAGAGAGGGGCTGCCTGCCACAAAAACACACGCGGCTCCACGTCCGGGCCTGGATCCGCTCCCGTGCGCTCAGCAGGGCAGCACCCAACGGCCTGATGGCTTTTTTGGCAGCCTTTTCCCATGTAAAGCCACCTGGTCACGCTGCCCCGGATGCTCATGCCAGGCACAGGTGTCCTGTGGGATGCGGCGGCTCACAGGAGCCGGAGGGATCCAACTACGGGGAATGAGATCGGGTCTTGTGAGCACGCCGGCCGCGTCCCACCGGGGTCCTCCACCTGCTCCCTGTCCCACCAGGCTCCATCCTGCGCCGCTGGAAGAGGAACTGGTTCGTCCTCTACCTGGATGGCAGCCTGGTTTACTACCACGATGAGACGCAGCGGGACATGGACGGCCGGATCCACATCAAGTACAGCTGCCGGGACGTGCGGATCGGCCGTGAGTGCAAAGGTGAGCCGAGCCCCTGCTCCCGAGCCCTGCGTTCCCAACCCCATCCCGCACGTGGCCGTACCCCTCTGAAACAATGCTCCACCCGTGCACATCCAGCATCTCCCCAAAATACCCCAGGCTGCCTCATTCACCCCTCCTCGTTCCCAGGCGGGAGACGCTGGATCGTCTCTGCCATTGCTTTTCCTGGGGGAAGGAAGAAAGGAAGGAAGGAGGAACTCTCCTCCTGGTTTGCGCTCGTAACAAACAGGATCCCACGGCCCTGACTCATCGCTCACGTCTCGCACAAACAAGGGGAACAAAGCAGCAGCTTGGCTGGGCCCCGCAGCCCACGGCGCCGCACAAAGCGCCTTTCTCGGGCTGGGAGCGGCGGTGGGAGCACAATCCCACAGCTTTGTGCTCACCAGAGGGTCCTGCCAAGCTTGCGGAACAAGGAAAGACACACCAGCCTCGTGGATTTAAGATTTTGCTCTTGCTTGAGCTCACGATCCCACTCGGGCAATGAGCATCTCCCGTTCCTACAAAATTTGGGTGCACTGTGGCAAGTCCAAAGCAAAGGCAGCTCAACCTCATGGCCTCGAGCAGATTTTTGGCAGTTTGCTGCCTTTCCATGGGGGTGGAGGTTTCTGCCCATCAGCTCATTCCTTGTGCTAGCTTTTAACCTGTGAGAGCCCGACCGCATCCTCCACACGGAGATGGAGCCAAAACTAAACCCACCAGCTCTTGTGCATGGGGGAATTTGGAGCCCGGGGAGAGTCTCTGGGGCTGCTCCTTGGTGAGGCTGGATCTCACCCCATCCTTCCACCCTTTCCCTTCCCAGACGTGCAGCCGCCCGAGGGGAGGAGCCGGGACTGCCTGCTGACCGTGGTGCTGCGGGACGGCTCCAAGACCACGCTGTGTGCTGAGAGCGAGGACGATGCCGTGTAAGCGACTTTTCCATCCCAATTATCCCAGCCTGGAAAGAGCCTGGGCTGCAGGAGAGCCCTGCCCCGCTCCCACCACAAGGGTGGATAAACCACCCTTGGCTAAACCTGCCCCCAGCCTGTGTTCACAGACACACCTGCAGGGCAAAAGGTGCAGGAGGAGATCTGGGGTTCTCACTGAATAATCCAGAGCCAAAAGCAGCTGGTTTTAAGCAGTCGGTCTCCTGATGGGGGACTTTCCTCACGGATAAGAAATCTCCTCTTGGCCTGATGGAGAAGGGTTTTCATCACTGTTTGGAAATAAAAAGTCTGAATGTGAAGCGCTCACTGGCTTGAGGCAAACTGCCCTTTTTAGCACTGTTCCACTTCTATTTATTCCTAAAAGAAATTAGAAATTATATTTTAAAAATAATTTTATTTTTTATAAAAATTTATTGTTTTAAAACAAAAAATATAAAATTTAGAAGTGGCAAACCTTCAGCTGAACTTGGATGGCGGGAAACGTTCAGCTGTGGCCAAGCAGAACTTCATCAACTGAGCTTGGCCTCAGCTGAGTGGAAATTCATCCATTATGTGCTCTTCCCCCCAAATTTAGGTTTCATTTTCCTGCCTGACCTTGTTTTAGCCAGGGCCTTTCCCAGGGACTGCCCTGTGCCTGTCCCTGCAGTGTCAGGTACCTCTCAGCACATTCCAAATCCCAGCTGTTAGCCCAGCACTCACTAATAGGGAATTAAAGAATAGTGCTGGCCTCATGGCCACATCCAGGTCCCTGTGGGGAGGAAGGGGACAGTTCCCACCCCTCCAGCACCCACCAGAAATGAGTGCCTCTGTTTTGTTTGCAGTGCTTGGAAGATGGCCGTGCTGGAGGCTAAATCCACCCCGGTGAGGCTTCATCCCCCTGAGCAGGGACACCGCCCTGGCATGGGATGTGGGATCCAAGATTTGGGCAGGGAGAGGTTACCCAACAGCCACTGTGCATCCTCAGGGCACAGGGAGTAAAGTCCCCACAGCCACAGGTGGGAGGGGCTGGATGCCACCACTGATGGTGGGTGACAGAGCCACGGGGACCCTGCGCACTGGTGGAGGGTGATGGCAGTAGAGTTCAGGTGCCAGGGACACGGGGTTATGGGGACACAGGTAAGGAGACAAGGACACAGCTAAGGTGACAGGGACAGTTAGAGGCAATAGGAGCAGAGTTGAGGTGACAGGGACACGGTTAAGGGGAATGGGGGCAGAGTTGAGGTGACAGGAGCACAGCTAAGATGACAGGGACAATGTTCAGGTTATAGGACCCAGTTAAGGGGAACGGGGACTCAGTTAAGGTGACAGGGGTACAGCTAAGGTGACAGGAACAGGTGGAGGGAACGGGAGCAGAGTTAAGGAGGCAGGGACACAGGTAAGATGCCAAGGAAGGGGCAGAGTAAGGGTGACCTGAGCACAGGCTGCCCCCAGCCCTCGGGCCCGTTCGGATTCCCCACCCAAGGGAGCCGTGGCCCCCAAACTGACGCCTCACCCGCGGCTGCAGGTGCACGTGTACGACCCCTACGACGACGACTACTACCAGACGGTGCCCCTGGACTCCCACCAGGCCGCCTACATCAGCTCCGGCCACTACGGCCACCAGTACGGAGGTGGGTGGCCCGGTGGCCCCGGGGGGTGCCCGAGGCCGTTGCCCCAGGCATTCACGGCCCCTTTTCCCTGGCAGCTCCCGGGGTGACCCACGTCATCGTGCGCGAGGATCCCTACCGCGTCTCCGGGGACCAGATGGCTCTGGGGCTGCTGGCAGGGGCCGCCACCGGCGCCGCCCTGGGCTCCTTCATGTGGATGCCGTGCTGGTTTTAGCGGCCACCAGGCTGGGCCACAGCCCCGCTCTGCTCCCCAGCCCCGCCTTGGAACCTGCCCTGAGCCCCCTTCAGCCTCCCCAAAACACCCTGGGGACAGACTCCCGCACACGCCGCACTCCCAGCCCCGGCTCCTGCATTAAATAACGCTCAAGTGCTTCAGAGCCCACCCAAAACCCGCTCCAGAACCCCACAGCATCCGATTCCCATCGGCAGAGGGCCCAGGCAGCTGCCGGGGCTGTTGGCAGAGCTTCCCCACCCCAAATCTCCACAGGGAGCTGGCTGCAGAAATACCGGGTTTGGGAGCAAGGGGTACACTTAATTTGGGAGGAGCTGACTGGGTGTTTTTTTGGCTGGGTGAACCCCACAATGCAGAGGCTTTTTAAGGGCTTTGTTTTGGGAGAGGCTCCAGCACCGGAGCAGGAGCTGACATAGGGGAAAGCACAGGGATGCTCAAGAGGTGGGTAAAAGATTTAGGAGGATGAAAACATTTGCAGGATTCCACTCCTTTCCAACTCGCACTTGTCCCCTGGGAATGGCCAAGTTGGAGAAATGGTGCAAAGCTCTCAGGAACTGGAGTTAAACCTTTGGGAACTAGGCCATGAAGAGCCCAGGGAATATCCCAACCTCTCCAGCCAAATGAGAGGAGCACACAGCATCCTCAGTTTCACCCTGATTTTTGTGAGGGGGAGAAGGACAGCTCTCCTTGGGGACCAGGGAGCCTTTCTGGCAGCCAAGCCAGGATCTTCAGAGCAGGGATTTGGGATTGAGGGGGACACAAGGTCAGGCCAGGGGGGACAAGCAGCAGCTCAGGGTTTTGGTTGGGCAATGGAAGAGGCGAGGAACAGTTGCCAAGTGTCACCCCTAGAGCCAGGATGGTATCCTGGAACGACTGACATTGAATTTAGGAATTACAAACCCCACAGCTGCATAGAAAACCACCAGTGACACCAGCACCCCAGCCTGCTCCTTCCTGCCTTTAGAGTCCTGGGTCAGCTCATCCCTGTGCCCACTGGGGGATTGGGATATCCCAACACACCATCCTCATCCTCTCCTGCATTCCCTGCCTCCCTCCTGCTGCGCACCCGCTCCCAGAAAGAGAAAAAAAATACAAAAAAACCTCTTTGAAGTCTAATAAAGGCAGCGAAAAACCAGCCCTGGCCTCTGGGTGAGTAAGCATGAGGAGGGAATGCTCAGCCTTGGCCACCTCTGGGGGTGGGGAGGATTGTGTCCCCCTGGAGAGTTGCCTGGGGATGTCACCAGCTCCCCTCTGCCTCCCTCTCTTTCCAAGCAGGAGCTCTGGGTGTGCACCTCCAGCCTCTGGGTGTGGGCCCAAAGAGACAGAGAAGGGACAATGCTGCCCCAAAAATCCTGCTCCTGGGCAAGAGAAGCACCGCTGTGTGCTGGCAGAGCAGCTCCTTCCTTTGCATCACGGATCCATGGGATGAGGCAACTCCTTGAGAAGAGCTCAGCTCAGGGTCAGGCACTGCCAGCCCCCGCCTGGCGCCTTGAGGGGGCTGAACAGAATCCCTGGTTCTGTCTCCTGTGCAAAGCAGGACCCACGCCTGGCTCCCAGCTTCTGAGCCAGGGATGCAGCCCCTCCATCCCTCTGTTAATTCCAGCACAGAGCCCAGCTCCCAAGGGCTGGAGAAGAGAAGGATCCAGCCCCACACACCCCACTGCATCCTCACCCCTTGTGCCTGTGACCCCGCAGCGCTCACTCACTGGCACCTCCCCATGGCACCGCCACTCCTGGGCCGCTGATCCAGCACCCACAGCTACTCCTGCTGCAGGGGTGGGCATGGGAATAAAACAACTCCTGTGACATGGGGCCACTGTCATCATGTCCAACCTGTGACACATCCCAGCTGTGTGTGCTGACATCCCAAAATCCCCCACATGCTGGGCTGATCCCCCATCACGGACAGCAGGGGAAAGGGATTGTGTCCCTCTGCCCCTGAGCTGGGGTGTGACCTCCCCTGCAGAGCTGCCCCAGCCCTGGGGCCAGCAGCACAAGGAGCTGGAGCTGCTGCAGAGAGTCCAGAGGAGGCCCCGGAGCTGCTCCAGGGCTGGAGCCCCTCTGCTCTGGAGCCAGGCTGGGAGAGCTGGGGGTGCTCACCTGGAGAGGAGAAGGCTCCAGGGAGAGCTCAGAGCCCCTTGCAGGGCCTGAAGGGGCTCCAGGAGAGCTGGAGAGGGACTGGGGACAAGGCCTGGAGGGACAGGACACAGGGAATGGCTTCCCACTGCAAGAGGGTAGCATTAGATGGGATATTTGAAGCTTTTCTGGGCAACCTGTGCCAGGGCCTCACCACCCTCACAGGGAAGAATTTTACTCTAATATTGAATTTACTAATCCAATATCCATTTTATAATTCACTGATCAAGGTGCATAATCCCAGGTGAGACACACTGGGAGATGGAACAATCTGGGAACTTGTTACCAATTGCAACATGACCAGAAACTGTCTGTCCTTCCCATGCCACGTCCAGCTGCTGACTTGCAAAAGCTCCTTTTCCCGAGCTCAGACACCCATGCTCCTCATCCCTGCAGTACCTGAACATCCTGAAACTGTTCCTGCTTCTCTCCTGCTGTGCTGGTCTCCCAGAGATCCAGGGACACGGAGCAATCCAGGCAAGGACAGTGCTGGACCAGCACATGCCTCCAGCAGCAATTCCCGGGGTCTTCACACTGCCGGTGGGAACAGCTGTTGGCAGGCAGGCCCTGCACTAGGGAGCTAAATGAAGGAGCAATTAAATATAATATAAATGATTTTGGAAGCACAAACGATAGAACCACAGCCCACAGAAGTACCTGGCTTGGTCTGCTCCACTCAGGAGGGGCTTCCCAGGAGCTCGTGGTGCCGACCGAGAGGCGCTGGGTAGGACCAGAGGGACAAGGAGTGCTGAGGGACAGAGGTCAGGGCTGACCTGCTCCGTTCCCAGCTCCAATCCAGGCTCGCAGCACTCCTCTCTCCCAGCAGGGAGAGCTGCTGAAGCTCCAAACACGGAGCAAAGCTCAGAACAACTCCAAAACCCCTCAGAAAAATGGGATCCGCAGTAAGGAGCAGGCACAAGCCATTAATGTCCATCATACCCACAAACTGCCTGGAAAATGAAACCCATAGTATCCCATGGCACGGGAATCAGCTGGGGGCCATGTGACCCTCGCTGTGATCCAAACCCACCTCTCTGGAAATCAAGCAGCTCAGGAAATGTCAGGATCATACCTCCCATTTCCATCCAGCCCCCTTTCCCAAGCTGGGATAAACGCAGGAAAGGACAGTGCCAAAAAACCAGCACTGAGAGCATCAATAAATCCCATTTTCTCCCTTCCCTGCCCTGAATCCGAGGACCCACTGGCTGTGGGAAAGACACTTCAGTGCTTTAATTAGCAATAACTTTAATCAAGCCTTTAATAACATCCTCGTTCCAGACGTGCTCTCCGGGTGGCCGACAGCGAGCACTCAAAATGGCTCTAATTTATATCCAAACCCTCGGAAACAGGTGGCAAGCCTGGAAAATTCGATTGGGAAACAGCAACCCTCCCTCCCAACCCAGCAGGGCAGAGCTGTGGGGCAGCAGGAGCATCATCACCCAGCTGCTTCCAGCCCTTCCCAACCCCTTATCCTCCTGGGAAGGGCAGAGCTGCAATTCCAAAGGCGTTTAACTCCCGACACGCCCAAGCCTGGCCTTTCCAGCATCGACCTGGGCAGTCAGCTCCATTCTGCTCCTACAAGAGGATCCTAAATATTTTATAAAAAGACACATTTGACCTTAGCATACGCTCGGACCAGGGTGGGGAGGGGGAAAAAAATGGTTAAAGAAGGGGGAAAATAAAATCGGTATTTTTGCCAATTGATGAAAAATCCCTTAAACTGCTGAAGAAACAATTCCATTGGTGAAACCCCAAGCCCAGCAAGCCTGGAAAGGCTGGCTCAGGCAACGGGAGAGCAGCAGAGGAGGAGGCAGCGCAGATGGGAGGGAGATGCTGCTCCGAGGTCCGGGTGTTTGCAGCTGCTTCCCTGACTGCGGGAGCGCTGGCAGCCTGTGCCGCAGCCTGCCCACCCCATTTATCTTCCTTCGGAGCTGGGACATGCCCAGCATGGAAAAAGGTGCTGCTGCAGCAGGTGGGGAGAGCCCTGGTGTTTCGGTTTGCTGAGTATTCGGGAGCTGGAAGCAGAACTGCAGCGAGGAGACGGCTAGGCTGCTGCAGCAGCTCTGCAGATGCTGCCAGGTGGATGCTGTGGCTCCTCCAGCCTGGAAAAATCGGGGCTGATCCCACCAGCAAGCAAAGAAGCCATTGGTGCCCTCCAACCCGAACCAGACTCTCCCTCTTGGATTTTGGAGCCGGAGCTCGAGCCACTGCAGCCAGGAGCACCCTCTGGAGCTGGTGGGTGCCCCCCTCCCATTCCCTGCTCCACGGCAGCCCTGGCTCTGCAGTTTAATCCAGACCCCTTCACCAGAGGGAAGCTGGGAATTGGGGTACCAGAGGGAGGTGGGAGTCCCAAGGCTACCCACGGCAGTAGCCAGGAGGAATCCAGGAGGTGAACGTGGTGTTTCCAGAGGCTCCCACCCAGGGCAGGAGCCGGAGGTGCCAGCTGCAAGGAACCGAAGCTCCCGCCAGTGACAAGAACCTTCTCCAGGAACTCATCCCCCCCACCACGACTTTTCCCACATCCCTAATTCCAGCACATCACCACCACTATGTTCCAGGTTCCTGACCAATTTATTTGTGGTCCTTTTAACAGTGAAGAGCTTGACCAAGAGATTTGGTGTGCGTTTGGGCACACACCAAATCCAGGTAATTCCCCTTCTCTACTGCCCAGGTTGGATGGGGCTTGGAGGAACCTGGGCTAGTGGAAGGTGTCCCTACCCTTGGCAGTGGGTGGCACTGGATGGCCTTTAAGGTCCCTTCCAACCCAACCATGCTGTGGTTCCACGATTCTCTCCTTCGGGAAAGCAAAGGGTAACTCACCAAAGAGCATCTGTTACTCACCTCCCCGGCCCCGCAGACCTGGCTGCCATCTCCAGCAAGAAGGAGGCTTGAGGAGGATCCTCCTCAGGGAAGCTGGGCTTGGTGCACCCGTGTCCCAGGGAAGCTGAGGCAGTGGTGAGGCCGCCCAAGGTGCCTTTGGGAAGGGAGCAGAGCTGGATGCAAGGAGTGGGAAAGGAGCAGAAAGGAACAGCTGCAGCCAGCAGAGGCTGGGCTCCGTCCCCGGCATCGCTCCTCGGGCGCTGGAAACAATGGCAGAGACACCGCAGCGACAGCAAACACACCCCTGCACCACCTTCCCCCTGGCACAGAGCCCCCCAGAACTCTTCCTCCTGCCCTCACAAAAGCCTCCTGCTTCCTCCAGCCCCCCGTGAGGAGCTGCACCTCCCGCCTGCGCTGCGCTGGACGTGCTGAGAGAAGAGACCCAGAGCTTTCCAATGAGACAGGTATTTATTTAGTTCAAGCACTAAGGATTTGTTCTCTTGTTGTTGTTGGTTCATATTATCAAACAGAGCTGAGGTACCAGTGACATTCCAACATGAAGAAAAGGAACCTTTTTTTTCCCCTTACACAATTTCTTCAACTACTTTTATCAAGACAAAACGTGAGGCATGGAATAGCTGCATGATGGACTGTACAACAAGCAAGCCAGAGCAGGGAGGAGAAAAGAAACAGAGCCGAGACCTTCACTCAAAAAAACCACACAAAAATCAGCATTAAAAACATCTGTTCCCATGGTTCCACTGGCCACGTCCACGGAGTAAAAGAAAATTAAAATCTAAAACCTGACGGGCGGATGGTGCAAAAAAAAAAAAAACCAACAGAAGAAAAAAGAGAAACCGAATAAAAATGAATCTGAAGAGCACGCTGCTCCTGTGCTCACCTTGGAAGTGTGCTTCCTCTGGAGAACTGGGACGAGGACAGGACCGAGCCCTGCGGTCATGTTAAGCACAGGCTATCGGCAAGGACATGCACTGAACGTACCTGGCTGTGCTGAGCAGCCCCAGGGGCCTCGTCTGTGCTCCTGCAGCCCCCTGGCCGTGCTGAACACGGAGCTGTGGGAACGCTGCTCTCCAGACCTTTGTTTCCAGCGAGTTCTGGACAAACCTGCTCCCAGGTCTTCCAGGAAAAGCATCCAGGCTGCTGGTCCGTCACAGCCCC